AAAAAAAAGCGAGAAATGTGGATCAAGAGCAAATCAAACCTTCTGCTAGAAGTGTGATGAGTGTTTTCCTTATCATCATCAGCAATCTCCTCTTTGACCCGATGCTGCAGTTCAATCTTGGAAGCTATCTGACGCCTGTTCTGCAATGAGAGATGGAAATGTGACTACTAGACAAATTACTGAGAATGCTCTGATTCCAAATTAGGCGATATCCACTGACCGAAAAAAATACATTCGATTCGTAGCACGCAAAGACTGCAGCTTATCGGCATTTCTTTGATCGCGCGCTCTTTCTTTTCTCTTACCATCTGCCGCCTCTCCTATGCACAAACTGTCTTAGTCGGACACAAGGGCGCCCAATCTTTGCGTGCCACGAATCGACGATACACGGATTACCTTACCGGCATGTCTTGATTCCGTGCAAGAACTGTTTTAGATGAGATAATGTAGCCAGGAGAAGACTTGAGTTGCTGACTTCCACGCCATTCGGAAGCGATACGGCGGTCAGAAGCGCTATAAAACAGCCGGTGTCAGCAAATGTCATTAAAGGTTTTAAGGCGCACCTGTGACTGATACGCTCAGCAACATGATGAAGCTGTAGTTCTTTTCGATGGCCGAAATCATCTGCAGCTAAGCGGGACTGATCTGAAACTAGAGCGAGCATTTTGTAAAAAAGAAGAGACAAATGTGGCATTTACCTAGCTCCAATTCCGAACGCTGATAGCGACTATCGTCACCTCTCTGGAAGTAACCAAGATAATAAATGCAGAAATGTGTGGTACGAATAAAGCTGTTAAGTAATAAAAACAGAAACTGAACTCACGCCAGCTTCTCCATCACGACTGCGCAAAGCAAGATGGTGCTTCATGGAAGGATGAGAGGGATTTGGCGCCGCAAAACGAGAACCACGAAATGAGGCTCCCTGAAGGCAGATTTTTGCTGAAATATAGCGAAACATAAGCGTAAACGCACCCTCCCTTCACCATGATAATTCCTACGACTGTAAGTGATGTAAGGGCCTGAAAACTGCTCAACTGAACTGCATGAATAATGCAGAAAGACACAGTAAGAATTTGCCCCCTTACCTTTCTCACGTGGGAAGCCTTCTTTGTCCAAACCACTATGGCGGCCGAAATGCTTGTTCGAAAAATAATGTTTTGGAGAAGAATGCCGACTTCTGCTCACTGCTGAGGCTCCACCACCTGTGCCCGGGTTATTAGTGACGCAAAAAACATGAGCAGTGCCAACTAACGTGCAGTCACTTCATTTTCATTCCTGGATGAATGGGCAGAAGAGGTTGTATCGAAGGAATTGTCCAAACACGAACGAGTGAAAGGTGCTGAAACAAGTGTAGCTCAAAATAAACCAGAGTGTCATCACTGAAACACTGGTGTTGCAAGCGTGCAGCTCGTAGTACAAGTACAGCTCGTTATTCCTACTCTTTTGGCACTTCCGACACTTTTAAAATTTAGCAAAACTTTTTAAGCTTTTTTCTGACATAGTGATGAATGACAGACGCCAAATACTGAGACTGCGCAAAATGTTCTGCTAGTCTGTGCCAACCGAGTAGGCGAGAGGTGTGCAGCAGCGTGTCCGCATCCTTGCGAGAGCATTCTGCCAAACAAAGACAGAAAAGGATGAAGAGACACCGTTCCAATCTAATATATTGGCGGAATAGCTTCAGCATTTCTGCCTAAACTGTGAAACTGACTGCACAACATTTTGAAAACGCGTAAACTGAAGCATGGAGCTGCTGATGGACCATATAGCCCCAACCACAAGTTATTATTAGCAATCTAACACATAAGAGTGATTGCGAGGACATACCGAAAGGCTCTCTGCACTGTGACAGCATAGCGTTTTCTGACGAAGCAAGGAAGTCCGCATCTAGCGACTGATCGGCTGCTTCTGTTGACAAAGACAGCGATGAATTTGCAGGATGCAACAAGATAGTTGGTGCTAGCAGAGGTGATAAGGTAGTTATGTCGAATATACTCGGTTCCAGCCGACACTAAAAATGAAATGGCCCTGATTTTGTTTCGATCTTTGCATATTACTACAGAATCTTTTCTAAACGTCCACCTTAGAAAGATTACGTTCATTTAACCACAGTAAGAATATCATGAAAAATCAGCCGGGAAAAATTACACTGGTTCTCCTTACTTTTGGATCATAACTCCGTTCAAATTATCTGGGAAACGTGATCTCAAAAATGTAAGCCGTGCATACAAGTGCACTGGTACATGGATGCCAGCAGCGGTCCACTATTTTTGTTTCGGGGGAGGAGACAAGTGGGTAAGTACCAAACCCAAAGCTAAGATGACAGAATGAGAGAGCTTTCTAACCTTTACATTTACTTCGCAAGCATGCTTGATGAGATCAGGGATCAGCGGCAACATTTCCGCATAGTCCGTCGGCTTCACCATGGGAATGTCATCACCACGTTTGAGGACCCGTCGCATGACAGCATACAATGCACCAACATTGTACTCGCTGCTTCGCAGTGAGATAAAATGCTAGAACAGGAGAGGCTTCTACAATTATAACGGCTTCAAATTATTACCCTCATCTGATCACCCGGCAACAGCGAGAGTGACTCGAGATCAGAAGGAACAACACGAACAGAGACACGAAGAACTTCATCGTAAAATTTTATGAGGCGATTCTGAAAGGCTAAGTCTAGAAGAGATATGAAAAAAAGCCTACCTGCGTACCTCAGGATCAATACGAGCACGGAGGTCTTCGCTTCCGGCGTGGAAACAAAGTTGCATCGGTAGCAAACCCTAGAACTGTAGGAATTTCGATGTCGGGCGAATATTATCGCACCTGAACATATCTGCGGGCTCTGAGTATGGACTCGGGCTGTCCCGTAAAATAAAAGAATAATGTTTGAGATGCTTCGTCCGAATGCGAGGGGAAATGAAGCAACGCTTTCGTCACCCGCGATATTACCAGCTAGAATTACGTCAGCTGGCAGGTGTAATAAGGAAATCTAGCAGTACCAACCAGTTGTGCTCCATCTGGCGTCCCTACAAGCTGTGAACGCTGGGCAGCTGGTACTTCCATATGTGTCGAAAAAGATACCTAAAATGCTAGCGCACCTTTAGCTTTTTTAGACAGACGATACAAATGATACAAACCTTTTCCGCAACTTCTGGAACAAATATAAGATCTCGAAGACGTTCACATGCTTGTAAAAGAAGACGCTCATCACCAACGCGACCGCTTACTCGCACAACAGGATCCTGAGCACAGCAGACAGATCATCTAGATTTCATTGACAGCTTTGTTCATACAAAGTCTGAGAGCTGCCCAGCTTCAATCGACTATTCAAATCAGTTTTTTCTCTACACTACGTACAAAATTTCAAGAATATTAGAAAGCCATAGAACACTGGCAAAACCAAAATGGGAAAGTTCTCACCTTGAATGCTGATGATAACGAATGAGGTAATACTTGTATACTGAGTGTAGGAAAACTGATCAATCCATCATCAATCTTCTCCTTGATCCATTGACCTAATCTACTGACAGGCACATCATCTCGTGCCCTTTCTGACACGGCGAACATCAGAACTACGGGGCAAAATCTCTAAATAAGATAACTTGGCGCTTACTTGTGAAGATGACAAATCAAAAGCTCTAAACTCACTCTCAGGCGGATTCGTGCTTCCTCAACGTCAGTGAGGTGTCCAGTAATCGTCACCTGAAAACAAGAAGCTCGCCGATCAAAACATCAGATCTGGACGCCGCGCCCTCATGTTCCTCGTTTAGATGCTATCTGGCGGTAACGACAGCTTCGCGCAATAGTAACCATAGGCTTTGACCATACATTACCAGTGTTACCGGTGTTACTAGTGTTACTGGTGTTACCGCTTTTATAGCTG